CGTTGATTGTTGTGCGGCGTGCCACGGTGGGGGTGCCATCCTATATGATTGAATCCCGTTGGTGGGTTTCAGTGCGTTTCTGTCTTGCCCCAGCACTATCGCGGTCCAACAATAACAGGGCAGCCATTTGTCCTCGCGCCCGCGCAACCGCCGATGAGCGACGCGCCCGCGTCGCCTCCCGCGTTCTCGTGCTGGGCCCGTGGCCTTGCGAGCGAGGCGGGCTTGAAACTGGCGAGAGTCGTGATCGGTGCATTCCGCCCCGATGAGCCCGCAGTCGCTGTCCGACGGGGTATGTTTCCGTGCTGTTTCGGGTCGGGAGGTCGGTCTGGGGTTGGGGCGGGCGATGAGACGGTCCTTTTGAGCTTTGCCGTGGGGCCCCCTCCAAGCCCTCCGCCTTCGAAAATTGTTCCTTCGGCGGTTGGCCCGTCGCGTTCAGCGCGCGCTTGGATACCGATTCGGTGGGCGCCTACTCCAGTCGGGGCTTGAGGGGGTCGTTTGGAGGCTCATTGGGTGTCTCCAGGGCGCGTCGCGGGGGCCCGGGGTGCTGCTGGGCGCCTCTCAGGTGGCGGGTGGAGGTCTCGGGTGGTGGGGGGGGTCTCGGGGGGGGGGGCGGCGGCCTGGGCCCTTGCGAATTGCCTTGAGGGTTTCCTATGAGGGCTTCCTCGGGGGCTTCTGCGGCGCCCCTCTGGGGCTGGGGGCCGCCCGCTGGTGATCTTGGGCCCCTCCGCGCCGTTTTGGACACTAGAGTCGGAGATGAATGAGCAAATCGTATAAGTACGAATCCGGGGATTGTCGCGATTTTGGCTTTGCCAGTCAGCCCTCGGGACTTCCGGAATGGCGCCGGGGCTCGAGGGATTCCCAGGGCGCCCCCGCGCGGCCGTCCTGGCCATGCGTTTCCAGCCCTCGGCGACGACGTGATGTCGCCCCCGCTCGCGCGCGGAAGCGCGCGGGCAACGCGCCCTCGTGTGCCGTTTTTCTTTCGCTGGAAGGCCCATCAGCTTGCGCGCGCGGGGCGCGCGCGGGCCTGCCGGGGCGCGGCCGCAGCGCCGCGCTCCTCTCAGCGGCGTGAAGTCGACGCGAGCTCAGCACCAACCGTGCGAGCTATTGGTGTAGCGCGCGGCCCTTGCGGACTTCCGCTTCCAATTTCGCGGTTTAAATCCAGGGGTGGCGTTGGGGTTCCTCTTGGCAAGTCGCGATGCTAGGGGCCGCTTCCGGGGCCTCCTCCATCCGGGGGTGGGCGCGAAGAGGCGCGCGGGGGAGGTGAGGGCCATGTGCAGCGGTCATATTCCCCCCCTGTCAGTCCCAGCTTGGCGTGGCGCGGTCGCTGGAGCAGGCGGGCGAGGGCCTCGCAGTGTCCGGCGCCGCCAGGGCAGCGGGGCGCTGCGCGGCGAGCTCGTTCGCGAGCTCGTTGTGGCGCTCAACCAGCTGGGCGCTGGCTCGGGTGACCCCCCGGGTGGGCCAGGGGGCCGTCGGGGCGCGGCAGCTCTGACGGGGGCGCCCCGCCGAATTCCGCGCGGCGATCGCCGCGCGGAGTTCAGCGGGATGCTGGGGGGCCGCCTCGGTCGACAAGTCTTCCAGAGGGTCGGCGCAGTCTATGCCGGCGGCGAGCCCGTCGCGGTGGTCTCTTTCGCGCGCGACCTCCTGTCCCTGCCGGCCACGGGCGGCGCTCGGGTGCCCCCGTTGAAGCTGCCGGGCCTCGAAGGCCCCGGTCTCGCGCGGAGGTTCACTCCGACGAATGTATTGCCTCTTGAAAGCGCCGAGATCTCTTAGAAGGATGATAGCTTCCCCCGCCCTTGCCTGGGCCCGGCGCCGCGGCCGCCCGCGGCGCGCCTGGCCTTCGCCGAGAGGGTGGGGGCCGGGGGCGCGCTGGGGATCACGTTGGACGTAGGCGATTTTGAGAAAAGTCGGTCTGTTCGCATGCTGGAAGAAGGGCGGTCGTCAACGACTGCTGAGGCAGCGACGTCGGCTTCGCCGGGCCAGGCAATGCCTCTCGCGCCTCAGAGGGCAGCTGCAGTTGCGTCGAGTTTTCTCCGGGTGAGGTGCCGTGGGCCCCCCGCTTCCTCGCGCCCGTGTCGGCGCGCCTCAAGCTGGGGGCGCCGCGCCGGGGACCTGTTTGGATTCTGGCCCTCCAGCCTGCGGGGGCTCAAGAGGGCGGCCGAGAGGGCGGGGGTCGACGCTTCGGGGCCCGAGGTCTGCGCGCTCCGCCGCAGCGAGCCCGGCCGCGACCGCGCGCTGCAGCTGCGCGCGCCGCGGGAGATCGAGTTTCGAGAGGGGTGGCGCTGTGGCGCTGCCGCCCCAGCGTCAGACTGGATGGAGGGCCGCGTGGGCGGGCAGCTGCAGCGGCGTCGCCCGCCGTCCGCGCGTGGGCGATCGAAGCGGCGGCCCTGCTGCCGACTTCCCTCGCCAGGCCTTCGTTCGCGCCTTGGCCGGCAGGGGCGCTGGGCTCGTGCGACCGCGGGTGTTCCGAGGGCGCCTCAGAAGGCATGGGGGCCTCTCCGTCGCCTGCGAGCGCGCGGCTTCATAGTGTCTGAGTGGGATTTTCACCGATGGGGCCCAGTGGGGCGCCCCATGGCGGCAGGCCCAAAATCTGGTGAGGGGGTGGATTTTGTCTGGGTTGGCTCGGGGTGTCTTTATGGGGGCCCCCTGACAGACCTGAGCCAGGGCCTGGGGCGGTGGGCCGTCGCGTCTGCGAAGCGATGAGCTTTTGTTGGGTCTGCCCGACGTGACGTATCCGCCTGATCTGAGCGCAGTGTGAATTGGTAATATTCTTGCCGCTTTCAGTTGCAGTGTTTTTGAAGTACTGCATCTCCTCCAGATTCCTGTAGCGCAGGGAATGTCGGCACGATCAAGTGCCTGGCTTCTACCTCGCTTTCGGAAGGTGGTGGCCTGGGGCGCGTGTGAGCTAATAGCTAGTATATACAGGCATGTGTCAGCTGGGTGCCCCTGGGAAGACGCCCATCCACTTCCTTGGCGACCGTATTTATTTCCCGTCTTTTGCTTCTCGGCGCCATGGCACAAACTATTCCTTGCCAGGGACAGAGCAGTCCTCTATCCACGTCCTAGCTGCCGGAGGAGGCTTCAAGAAAGAAGCTGCCCAGGAGTGCCCCCGCGCTCTGTGCCAGGCTCGTTGGTCTCTGTGTTGATATCGCTCACGGTCGTGCCGAATATGTGTCTCTTCGTTTGGCCTTCTAGAGAAACGGTGAATGGCTTAAGTTTGATCTTTGAGATGACCAATTCAAGCTTGGCAATATGCATATTTTGGGCCCTCGTCTCGCATTCGGATCCTTGCAGGCTCACCGGCTTAACATCCAGCCCAACTGCCTGTGCTGGTGCACCCTTCGCTGACTATTGATCGGGCACCATGTGCCCTGGACAAGTTACCACTTGGCTTCGGCAGCGGCGGCGGCAGGCCTGCCCACTACTTCATCGTTGACTGCCGAACGCCAGTGCCCGAGGGGCCGCATCTGTTGCATTCTGATGCCGTTTCAGTTTTTTCTCGCGCGCCCAGCGCTCCCACGTTCGCGCGTATTTTTGTGTTTTCGTCCCGGACTCAGATCTTATCCTGTTGAGCAGCTCAGCTTCCTGTCCGCTTGCCTGTGCCAGTGCGTCCTTTGCTGAAGTTTGGTCGGGCACCACGTACCCCGGAAAAATTGTCATCTGGCCTCGGCGGCGGCCGCGGCAGGCCTCCTCCTCCTCCTCCTCCTCCTCCTGCCTCGTCCTCCTCTTCCTCCTCCTCCTCCTCCTCATCCCCCTCCCTTTAGCCCCTCGTCATCCCCCCGCGGACGCGCGCGGGAGGGGGCTGGCGGCGAAGGCGTCGTCGTCGTCGCCGCCGTCATCGTCGTCGTCGTCGTCGTCGTCGTCGCCGTTGGCGGCGGCGGCGGCGGCGGCGGCGGCCTGGCGCGCTGCTTAGTAGAATAGTGTCATTTGCTGCAACATAAGCGGTGCCAGAAGCGAATGGGCACTTCGCGAGAACAGTATGCATATTCCGAATCTGTAGGTCTTCCCTGAGTGTGCAGCGGGGCTACGGGCTGCGGGCTAGGGGTTAGGGGGCTAGGGAAAGAGACGTGTCAGGTCAGAGTCCTTGAAATTGCAGAGCAGGGCTCTGGCTTTGCAGGAAACTGTGACCGTACGTCGGGGGCCCCACATCGGGGTGGTGACCACACCGTGTGGTGTGTCGGTTGGGATTCGGGGTCACCGCACGGTTTTGGGACTAGGACGTCTCGGGCGATTGGGGCATCCGAGGTCCCAAAACCGTGCGTTGACGGACCGTGCAGTGAGGTCTTGCGGGATTTCGAGGTCACCGCACGGTCTGTCACCGCACCGTTTCGGGACTCCAAAGTACGGGCTGTCCTGACTCCGTTTCGCATTGCACCGGGGTTATTTTCAGCCGAACTGGCCACGGACTCCGTCGTGGTGGTGGTGGTGGTTGTCGTCGTCGTCCTCCTGCTCCATCTCCTCCTCCTCCTCCTCTTCCTCATCCTCATCCTCATCATCAGCACGCAGCCACCTGGAGTGCGAATGTCAATCAAGTCCCTCCTCCTCTTCTTCCTCCACCTCCTCTTCCTCCTCTTTCTCTCCCTCCTCCTCCTCCTCCTCCTCGTCTTCGTTCTCCTCGTGCTCTTCCTCTTCCTCGTACTCATCCTCATCATGAGCACGCCGCCATTTGGAGTGTGAATGTCAATCAAGTCCCTCTTCCTCCTCCTCTTCCTTCTGTTCCTCCTCCTCCTCCTCCGGCTCTTCCTCTTCCTCATCCTCATCATCAGCTTTCTCCTCCTCTTCCTCTTCCTCGTACTCATCCTCATCATGAGCACGCCGCCACCTGGAGTGTGAATGTCAATCAAGTCACTCCTCCTCCTCCCCCCTTCCTCCTCTTCCTCTTCCTCCTCATTTTCCTTCTCCTCCTCCCCCTCCGCTTCCTCCTTCTCCTCCCCCGCCTCCTGTCCTGCTGCTACTTCTCCTCTCCCTGCGACGTGCGCGGGGTGTGGGGAAGCACCCGCCAGGCGCCGGCGACGAGGCCGCCAGTGGGAGGGGTCTCCGTGTTCCCGCCGCTGGTGCTGGAGGCCGTCCACAGAAGGGGAGGAGTCTCCTCGTCGTCGTCGTTGTCGTCGTTTTCGTCGTCGTCGTCGTCGTCATCCGCCCCCTCGTCGTCGTCGTCGTCCTCCTCCGATTCGTACCTTTCATTGTCCTCTTCCTCCTCTTTGCTCCTCCTCCTCTTTCCTCCTCCTCCTCCACATCCTCCTCGCCAGATCTCTTCCTCCTCCTCGTCCTCCTCTTCGTTCACGTCTTCGTTGTCCTCGTTGTCGTCGTCGTCGTCGTCCTCCGCCTCCACAGGTAAACGTATGGAGTGTGACCCCTTTTCAAATTTTAGCCAGCGTGGGCCCCGAGCAGTGTGTTTCTACCATTCGACGTCGCGCATTTTAGGTGGATCGATCTATGTGGTGCATTCTCGTGGTGCAACATAGGTTGTGCAATTTATTTGGTTGTGCATTCTATGTTTGTAGAATCTGTGTTGTGCAGTCATTGTTGAGCAATCGATGTGTCGCAGTCCAGGTTGTGCAATATAGGTTGTGCCATTTATGTTGTGCAGTCTATGTGGAGCAATGTATGTGGTGCAGTCTATGGAGTGCGCAATCGGTGTGGTGCAGTCGAGGTGGTGCAATCAATGTGGCGCAATGGAATTTTACAAACGAGTTGACACAGTCCGTTTTCTCGCAAACATCCCATCCGCCCACCCGCAGCTTGGTTTGCAAAACCCATGGGGTGGCGATTGCGATGAGTTCTTGGCGTTGGCTGGTGCATCTCTGCGTCCGCGCCAGCTTGTGATAAACGAGTGTGCGCGCATAGTTTTTTTGTCGGGGGATGGCGGGGGTGGTCGATACCGGCCCGGCTGGGATGGTACGAGTTCGTATTACGGATGGACGATTGGGCAGGATCGCACGTAAATTGCAATGCGAAAAGGGGGGTCGATAAACCCGGGGTGGTGGCGGTGGTGGTGGTGGTAGATTTTGATATGTATTTCGGAAGGAGAACCTATGTGGTGCAGTCTATGTGGTGCAATTAATTTCTGTTCGCAGTGAGTTGTCCACTCCACTGCTCTTGCAAACATCCCACCCACCCACCCGCAACTTGGTTTGCAAAATCTCTTAAGACCGTCACGGTGGGTACCACATGGCACTTGGCAACAACAGCGACGCCGACGACGACAGCGACAACGACGATGACGACGCCGCCGACAACGACTACGACGACACCGACGACGTCTCCAACGACTTCGACGACGCCGACAACGACGACGACGACGACGACACCGACGACGACGACGACGACGACGACGACACCGACGCCGACGACGACGATGACAACGACGACGATGACGACGCCGACGACGACGATAACGACGACACCGACGAGGACGACGACGTCAACGACGCCGACGACGACGACGACGACGACGGCGGCGACGACGACGACGCCGACGTCGACGACGACGAAGACGACAACGACGCCGACGCCGCCGACAACGACGACGACGTCGCCAACGAAGACAACGAGGAAGGAGGGAGGACGATGACGGCGACAACGACGACAACGACGAGGGAGGAGGAAGGACGGCGACGACGCGAACGACGAAAAAGGAGGAAGGACGGCGACGCCGACGACGGCAACGACGAGGGAGGAGGGAAGACGACGACGACGACAACGACGACGACGGCAAAGATGACAACGACGACGACGATGACGACGCCGACGACGACGATAACGACGACACCGACGACGACGACGACGTCAACGACGCCGACGACGACGACAACGACAACGGCGACGACGACGACGACGACGGCGACCAAATAGGAGGGACGACGATGAGACGCCGACGACGGACGACGACGACGACGAGGGAGGAGGAGGAAGGACGACCACGGCGACAACGACGACGGAAACGACCACGACGTCAAAGAGGACGACGACGACGAACACGAGGAAAGACAGAGGACGAACGACGACGACAACGACGCGGGAGGAGGGAGGATGGCGACGACGACGACGACGACGACGCGAGAGCGCGCGCGCACGCTTTTGTTGAAATTCCGTGTTGCGAAACCTTGTGTTTTTGTAAGTTTTTTGGATGCACGATTTTGAAATCCTTCCGAAACCGATGGGTTTGGAAGGTGTTCGGCATACGCGCGCGACGACGCGCGCGTCTGCACTTCGTTCCGTTTTTTGCATGGGATTCTCGCGACGGCACACGCGCAAGGGCGTTCGACAGATTTCGACATGAGCGCGCGCGAAGCCCGTTTGGTAGCATTTTGTGAAAATCTTGAAAAACCTATGGTTTTCTTAAGATTTCGCAAGAGCTATCGCGGCAGCTTTTTTTAGCAACTCTGTTTTGCGAAACCCTGTGCTTCTTGTATGTTTTTTTTTTGGGAAACTCGATTGCGAAATCCTTCCCGCATTGAAGGTTTTTGAAGGATTTCGGCATGCGCGCGCGACGACGCGCGGGTGTGCACTTCGTCCCGTTTTTTGCAAGGGATTCGCGAACAAGTGTTATGTCAGAACAAACAATGACGCCGCATCGTTCTTTTTTGTTTGTTTGTTTGTTTTTTGTGTTAATATATATATATATATATATATATATATATATATATATATATATATATATATATATATATATATGTTTTTATATTAAAATGGAAAAAAAAACTGAACCTCAGGGGGCAGCCCGGTTTGGGTGGGATGGTATGATTTCATGTTTAGGATGGACGAATGTGCAGAATCTATATATATATATATATATATATATATATATTATATATATATGTATATATATAAAAGCCATCGTATCCCAGGGGGAGGCCGATAAGCCCAGGGGGGGGAAGGGGGGGGAGAATCTATTAATCTTTGAGAAAAGGGGATTGTTCTTTACCCATGATTTGACACATCCCATGCTCTTGCAAACATCCCACCCACCCACCCGCAACTTGGTCTGCAAAACCTCTTCAGACCTTGACGGTAGGTACCAAATGGCATTTGGCAACGACACCGACGACGTCAGCGACGTCGACGCTGACAACGACGACGCTGACTACGATGACTACGACGACGACGTCGACGACGCCGACGACGACGGCGACGACGACGGAGGCGACGACGACGACGCTGACGTCGATGACGACGAAGACGACGACGACGCCGACGCCGACGACGACGACGTCGCCAACGAAGACGACGACGACGAGGGAAGAGGGAGGACGACGACGGCGACAACGACGACAACGACGAGGGAGGAGGGAGGACGGCGACGACGCGAACGACGAAGAAGGAGGGAGGACGGCGTCGCCGACGACGACAACGACGAGGGAGGAGGGAAGACGACACCGACGACAGCGACGACGACGACGACGGCGACGAAATAGGAGGGACGACGACGAGACGCCGACGACGGACGACGACGACGAGAGAGGAGGAGGAAGGACGACCACGGCGACAACGACGACGGAAACGACCACGACGCCAAGAGGACGACGACGACGAACACGAGGAGAAACAGAGGACGACGTAGGCGACGGCGACGACGACGACGCGGGAGGAGGGAGGACGGTGACGACGACGACGACGACGCAAGAGCGCGCGCACGCTTTTGCTGAAAATCCGTGTTGCGAAACCTTGTGTTATTGTAGGTTTTTGTGGACACACGATTTTGAAATTCTTCCGGAACCGTTGGGTTTTGAAGGATTTCGGCATACGCGCGCGACGACGCGCGCGTCTGCACTTCGTCCCATTTTTTGCAAAGGGTTCTCGCGACGGCACACGCCCAAGGGCGTTCGACAGATTTTGACATGCGCGCGCGAAGCCCGTTTGGTAGCATTTTGTGAAAATCTTGAAAAGCCGTTGTTCTTTTCTAAGATTTCGCAAGAGCTCGCGCGTAAGCGTTTTTAGCAAACGAGTGTTACGAATCCCTGTGCTTTTGTATGTCTTTGTTTGGAAGCTCGTTTGCGAATTTCTTCCGACACCGAAGGTTTTTAAAGGATTTTGGCATGCGCGCGAGACGACGCGCGCGTGTGCAGTTCGTTCAGTTTTTTTGTTGTTCGGGATTCGTGACATAGTCTTATGTTAGAACAACAAATGTCCCCGCGCATTGTTTTCTTTCAAGGGATCGTCAGGGGGATCGATACCGGTTCCCTGGGGATCGTGACACTTTATATTTAAGATGGACATGTGGTAAGATTCATATGTGGTTCACATACTCGAAAGGGGGACCGATAATGCCGGGGGGGTTGAGTCTATCATCTTTTCGAGGGAGGAGAACTCACTTGCCGAACTTGAGATTGTCAACTCCAGTGCTCGCGCAATCATCCCACCCACCGACCCGTAACTTGGTTTGCAAAACCCACGCCGAAGACGACGACGCCGACGCCGACGACGACGAAAACGACGACGACGTCGCCAACGAAGACGACGACGAGGGAGGACGGAGGACGACGACGGCGACAACGACGACAACGACGACAACGACGAGGGAGGAGGGAGGACGGCGACGACGCGAACGACGAAAAAGGAGGAAGCACGGCGACGCCGACGACGACAATGACGAGGGAGGAGGGAAGACGACGACGACGACGACGACGACGGCGACGAAATACGAGGGACGACGACGAGACGCCGACGACGGACGACGACGACGACGAGGGAGAGGGAGGAAGGACGACCACGGCGACAACGACGACGGAAACGACCACGACGCGAAAAAGGACGACGACGACGAACACGAGGAAAGACAGAGGACGACGTAGGCGACGACGACGACGACGACTCGGGAGGAGGGAGGGCGGCGACGACGACGACGACGACGCAAGAGCGCGCGCGCACGCTGTTGTTGAAAATCCGTGTTGCGAAACCGTGTGTTGTTGCAGGTTTTTTGGACACGATTTTGGAATCCTTCCGAAACAGATGGGTTTGGAAGGATTTCGGCATGCGCGCGCCACGACGCGCGCGTCTGTACTTCGTCCCTTTTGTTGCAGAGGATTCTCGCGACGGCACACGCGCAAGGGCGTTCGACAGA